CCATCATCTCTCCACTCCTCAGAGAGGGTAAGACCTTCCTTGGGAAGTCAACGAAGTCTGGCATATCAAGTTGAGGCAGGACCAAGCCCCTCTCCCCTTTATCAAGACTGAGCAAGTTATCCCATCATAGGAAATGGGCTTCAAATAGCCAATTCATGCATTCAAGATAAGTACTGGTCACACTGCCAAGGCTCCCTGCCCCCAACAGATCAAGCCACATAACTATCACCCACATTCAGAGAGTCTAGTTTGATCCCATGCAGATTCCCCAGCTGTCAGGCAAGAGTTCAAAGTTGCTACTATCTTGAAGGAAGGAAAATAGACATGAAGACAATGCAGAATAAAATTTAGTTATAGAAATTGTAAACCCATGTCTATCAATGTATAAAAAGAGATGTTAATTCTGAATAACTAGGATATAGACAAAAATGTCATATACTATGCCCAAGTTTAGTTTCATCTAAGAATTAAAAATGGTTTGTTCAATAATAATTAATAATTTGAAATACTTGCTATGTTAAAAAAATAAAAATATAAATACCTTCATAAAATTAACAACCTTAAATTTAAAGGTTATATTTAACATATAATATGTAGAAAATATATAAATTTAATGAGCTGGGCACAGGGCTTGGTGGGTAAAGTTCTTGTACACAAGGAAAACAACCTAGTTTGGATCCCCAACACCGGAGTGAGAACTGAGTTACTCTTACTCTGTGAGCAACTGTGAACTCAGTTATTTGGGGTAAAATGGAGGTGAGACAGAGCAAGGTGATCCTCAGAGTTTGCTGATATATCATTCTAGCTGATATCAGTGAGCTTCAGCGCCACTGAAAACATTCTGTCTCCAAGAAACATAGGCAGAAAGCAATAGAAGAACAAACCTGAAACTGATGTTTGACCTCTTTGTGCATATGCACATATATGCAGACATATGAATAAATGACTATTTACTACACACAGCATTTTTCAAAGAAAACGTGTAGTTTGATTTCATCTGAATTTAAAGATGCATTGTTAAGATGGCAAGTGTGGTTGTTAAGGAATGCCTGGAGCATAGTTTCAGGCACCACCCAGCAAAATCATAGACAAACCCCAGTCACGGACTTGACCTCTGCACGTGTCACTGGCCTGATGTTTGGCAGTGGAGTTCAATCTTGATTTAAATAGAGTTGGCCTCTCCTTTCATCATTGGTAGACATAACTGTTTATTACCAAAGAAGAATGATTCTGGTAAAAATGAAATCAAGAAATAGACTCTTATGTTTTGTAATGGTCTAATAAGAAAATAAAAATAATTAATTTGCTACAATATTTGTATCAATCTTTACAAAGGAAAACCTATGTTTTCACATACAAATTTTCTGCCTCAGAAATATTGTGAATTAATTTTTTTTGGAATTTGTTCCAATTTCCTTTTCTTTGTTTTGTTTTTTTTAATTCTCTGATTACTTAATATCTATCTATTAATGACAATGGTTTTTACTTTACATCACACCCATTTATAAAAATGTGCTTACGGACCCACACGTTCCTCGTTGGAAATGAACTACGCAAGAAGCTCACATAAGAGTGCCATGTGTGTAAGCCCAGTCTGGGCAACGCAGCAAGTGTCAGGCCAGCCAGGATGCACAGCAAGGCTCGACACAACAAGTCGATGGCATATGTAAGACTAGAAATAGCAGATTTAGAGTCTTAGTGGTACTGTATCTGGGTCACTTGTATTTCCTTTAATGTTTTAGTTCTGGTGAATATTATTAAATTTGAATGTAACTCTTTGAACCCGAAAAAATAGATTAGAAATTTGTAAAGACAGTATGACTACAACTTACTATATCACACCATTCAAGTTTTGTCTTTATGGAAATTGTGATTAGGAGACTTGCAGTTTGTAATATCCAGGGCTAAGTCTAGAATTTTTAGATACTGTCATCGTGAAGTGATTAAGGGATTTCTAATTTCCAAACTACTGTGGATAATTGGAGCAATGAACTCACTATACCAGACAGACTTGATTCTGTAACTGTTCAGCTATGAGAAACAATCTTCTCCACTTCCCCACCATTTTCTTTCTATACTGAGTAAATTTTGAAGCAAAAATGAAATTGCACTGTGAAATCTGCTTGGGCAGTTTTTGATGGAGATTCTTCAGCCACTCATAGAACTGAATTCCCACTGGGGTAGTGCATATCGGCAGGTATGTTTTGGGTTCTCTTATGACAATAAATGAGACAGGTTTCATTTTAGGAAGCAGATTGTGTTGTGTGCTAATCAAAACACACAGGATGATTTGTGCAAACTTTAATGCCAGCACACTGCATAATGTGCAGATGAGCTGGTGTTTGTAGACTGTTTCCCACTGCATTTACTGCATGCTACAGCAAATTCTCACCACTACTCCAGTGTCTTTGTTTCTAACCATATTTTTCGAGATCACAAAGGAAACTCTTAAGATATTGCTTTCCAAGTGAATTTGTTTGCTCTTTGTCTGTACATTTGGGTTTCTGGATCTTTGAACTTAATGCAAAGCACATTTTCAGACTTGCCTATCTTAACCGAAGTGTTTACAAATACCTAAATTAGAAGAGCCAAAGGCAGCCTGATCTGATTTCTGAATGGTCATGGGGCCATGGCTTAATTGACTGCTTTGACTTTTTAGCTACTTTTATTCCCCTTGCCAAACATTTTACAAGACATGCTAATGAGAAATGAAATGGCCATAAGGCCAAGAGACAGAGGAAATCAGTGATAAGCAGAGAGCTGAGTGGTATAGAAATGCAGTAACCAGCCAAATGAAGCACCGTCGTTGACTCCTATTGAAGCATGTACCTAAGTTTGGTAGCATATTATTCTCCCCAAAATTGCATAATGAATGAGCACAGACCCTGATAATGATCTGACTTTGAGTGAACAGGCTTTCTTTTCATTCATTCCTCAATCATTTATTTTACTACAGGACAGGGCTGAAAAAAATGTCTTAAGAGACATCACTGTCTCTAAGGCACAAGTAAATCTTGCATTTCTTCTTGAAAATTGTCAAACTAAATTTTAGCGAGGATTTGATAAAAGCTATCCATAAATGATAAAGCTTTTGAGTAAAGTATTTTTTTAGATTTCACTAGGTCAAGGATGTGACACCTGAAGATTGTAAATAAATCAACACTTTAATGAAAATAAGCCAGTATAACAGATGAAATAATATACATGAAAATGATTATATCATTTAAATGCTTGAATATTTAATTAAGTAAAATTATTAAGCTATATTAGAACTATAAGAACTGTTAAAGTAACCCACAGGGAATTGATTCATGGTTCAGTGTTGATATTCACCAATAAAATTAAAGTTTACAGGAATGAAGATAGTTTATAGTACCAAAATGGCCAACTAGCTAAGAGTGTAGCTTATTTGATAGACTGCTCCCAGCAATCATGAAGCCAAGGGCATAACACTGGACCACTCTAGTGTGGCAGATGTGTATGTGAGGAACTCTCAGCAGATGGAAGAAGGAGATTTCCAAAGTTCATTCCTGGGCTATGCTGCACAGTGAGTTCAATCTAAAGTATCTGAGAGCCTGTTTTAAAAATTAAATATAAGGGAACTAAAATCATAAGGAAGAAAAGAAATAATAAAACTGGCATAATACTATTAAAATAATCAAAATTAATAAATAGGAAGAAAAACATATCATGGAGAAAGTAGAACTAAAATTAATCAGTTAATTATTAATAGCATATCCCAACATCAGAGAAGATGCTTAGAAGGGAAGCTCATGATTGCATCATGCAATTAAATGAACATGATTGTTTGGTTGAAGCCTTTTGTAAGTTTATGGACTTTCACTATCTTTCAGTTCTGGCATAACTGGATCCTCTAAACTTGGTCATATTATGTTATGAGAAATATTTTGTTATATGAAAGTGGAACTATAGGCATACTAACACTAAAAAATTGGTGGGGAGGAGTAAAGCTAGGTGAATTCACGTGAGTCTGATGAACAATATACTGCTCCATAATTACCACACACATAATAACTGAATACCAAATTCCCGAGTGTCCTCAGCATGGTGACTAGTTCAAAATGTCAATCTGCCACAGTCTAGAATCACCTGTGGAGAAGGCCTCACTGAGGAATTTTCTGGATGGCCTCACCTATGCGAGATTGTCTTCTAGATGTGGTATGACCCAGGCTAAAGTGAGTGGTGGCCTTGTTCCTCAGGTTTGTGTCCTGCCCTCTTTGAATAGGGAGAAATAACCTGATATTCAGTATCTGGTAGTTATCTGAAAGTAACTCACCCTTGCACTATCTGATGTCTTGACTTCTGCATAAAAGACTGTGATGTACAACTGTGAGCAAGCATAAACCTTTCTCCCGTGTTAGCTTTTGTCAAGTACTTATCATAGTAACAGGAATGAAACGAAGTCAATAAAGTTGAAGACAAATGTTTATCACATGCACTCACTCATAAGTGGTTTTTAAACATAAAGCAAAGAAAAACAGCCTACAAATCACAATCCTAAAGAACTTAGACAACAATGAGGACACTAAGAGAGACATACGTAAATCTAATCTACATGGGAAGTAGAAAAAAGAAAAGGTCTCCTGAGTAAATTGGGAGCATGGGGACCTTGGGGGAGGGTTGAAGGGGAAAGTCAGGGAGGGGAGCAGAGAGAAAAATTTAGATCTCAATAAAAATCAATAAGCCACAAAAGAAACCTCAGAAGTAAAAGAATAAAGGGATATACTTAGATATTTTATGGCTCTTGAACACTATAATAAAAAAACAAAGTAGGTTACAGATATTTGTTCTAGAACCTAGCCTTCTGTATTTTTTATTTTGAAACGTAAATTTTATTGCAACTTTGTAATGTTTAGAGGACACAAAAGTCACTTGTGTGTATTAGATGTTTCAAAGTGTATTATATAGGTAGGTTCTATGGTTGAGGCCAATTAAGCATATTGATGCATATATATATTTATTATTTATCTTACGTTTAGGTAAACCAGTGATGATCGTTACAGAATACATGGAGAATGGCTCCTTGGACAGTTTCTTACGTGTGAGTAAATTATCATATGCATAATGTTTATGTGTTCCTATGATATAGTGTATATAAATACACATATTGACTAGTAAGTTTTAGAAAATATTAAACACCTTCTAATACTGTGCTACGAATTTTGGTGTCTAAATTTTAACAAAAAGTGAAACTAGGATTAACTAACCAAGAGGAAATTGTAAAATTTCATCTTTAACATGTAATTCCTTACAAGTATGGTTTGTATTTTAGAACTTTTTTTAAATGTGTAAGAATTTTAGAACTTTTTTTTTAATTTTTTGTATCGTCCCAAATCACACCTTTAAAACTATTTATTACTATTTAAATATAACTGTTTGGAAGACTTCTCTGTCCATGACTATGACTTATCTTTCATAATAATTTCATAATAATTTCTTTAGTTAGATATAGCTAAATATCAGGCCAAATCTTAAAAATGAGGTAAACATATTTTTGTCATATATAATTATTTATGATGATTATTATAACTTTTACCTAGAGAAGAAAATAAAATTTCAATTAACTATCAACTTGAAATATTCATGCCATCTATTTACTTTTTTGTTGTTCTTAATGTTAGTTTTTGAGTAGGATCAAGACAATACTATTTTGAACTGAATTCAGATTATCTGATACTATATTGGTTGGTGCAACCACTAACAATTTTGTGTTAGCCATGCATTCATCTGTCTTCACATCATGGTAGTATTATGTGCTTTTATTTAAAATGTGTAGAGTCAATAATGAAAGATTTTGGCGTATAAAATTCTAAAGCAAAGGAATAAATTTTAGCTTGTATTGTAAATGCATTTCAGAAACATGATGCCCAGTTCACGGTCATCCAGTTGGTGGGAATGCTCCGTGGAATAGCATCAGGAATGAAGTATCTTTCGGATATGGGCTATGTCCACCGGGACCTTGCTGCTCGGAACATCTTGATCAACAGTAACTTGGTGTGCAAAGTTTCTGACTTTGGACTCTCTCGGGTACTTGAAGACGACCCAGAAGCTGCTTATACAACTAGAGTGAGTAATGAGGATTCTACCGTCTTTGTTTTCTGTATTTAATATCTGGGTGTATAAATAAGTAGAAAGGATGACATAAAGCCATGTATCAATTATGTTTTGCATAGGTGGAATCATTTCTCAATAATTAAAATATTATTTATTCTGTGAAATCTGATAGTTTGCATTTAACAAGCTAATAACTATTATAATTTTAAATAACATACCTGATATAAGAAGCACCTGCTCAACAAAGCAAGGTCTTCACATGCCTAAATTGTGACATTTTACTACTCACTCTTTCTGACTGCACAACCTTTAACAGGCATGTTTGATAAATTCTCTGGGTTCTTGCAGCACTAGGTTATTTTTAAGGCATTGCAAATTAATATCCTCGATAAGGATTTAAAAAGAAAGACTATTCTTTATGCAATTTTGAGGGTGCCTTTTATCTTTATCATGTATGCTCTAAATATATGTCTCTGTGTAGCTGGTTCAGTTTTATTACTGAATATATCCTTTGCATATAAAGATATATTCTTTTAGATAAGAAAAGAATTAACTAGTAGTGGCTAGTAGCATGCATTTATAACAGTAACTTCAACTACCTAGCTCTGAAGACCTGATGGAGTTAGAAGCATGGGTAGTTAAACAATAGAAACAGTCTCTTGATGTTTTTCTACTCTCCACAAGCATCAGCTAGTGCAGGTTCGACAATAACAGCATCATATATCACATTTCCAACTACACTCTCTTCCCAGGAGGAAACATATGTAGCAAAGGAAAACATTTACTTATCATCCTCTGAAATGACTTTATTCTCCCCACTACTGCTCAGTCCTCTAAAGACCCCTTTTATAAGCATCTGACTCTATAAACATTTAGCGGTACAGAAGGAGTACTGCTGTTGTTTTGTTCCTGTAACAACTGTTACATTTAAAAAGATCTTCCAGATTTAATAAAGCATTTCTGAAAAGAGACTTATATTTGATCTTACTTATAATATAACCTAGAGACTGAGGCAAGCTCTAATTTCTCTGTGGCACATGATTATTAAATGTGAGTATCCTTGATTCCAACTTGATTCCTGATTCTAGAATACTCGAAGGAATGACTGACCTAGTGGGAAACTGACAGGGATTTATAAATATGACCATCTGCTTTCTGGAGTCTCAACTGTGTTTCTGCTCAGAATTTCATTACAAGGCTTGTGACTTTGTTAGGAGTAAAGACACTTGAGGACCATTTATTTGGCTTTAGTAAGAAAAGAATTGCTATATCAATATTCTCATGTATTAATTCTGAGTAAAAATGCAAGAGGCTTTGTGTTGAAATTTCAGTGTCAGAAGATTCTTGTCAACCATAGCAGCCAAGTGGATGCATTCCCTTCCCACACATAGTTGCTCAAAGCTCTTCGGTGTCCATCTTTGATTTCTGCTGGCAATTTCCCAAATACCCATGGGGTTCCCAGCTTCCTTCTGAAAAGCATCTGCATGTCTACAGGAATTTGGAAGTCGTTGACTTAATCTCCAATAGCAAGCTTTGTTTAGTACAGTAATTTTATGATTTACTCTTAAGATGAGTATGATTATAAAGTCGTTGATCTGCTATTTTTTATGTAAACACACCAAAACAGCTGAGTTGCCATTCTAAGCAGTTGTGTAGAGAGTGTATACTGACCGCAGGAGGTCTGTGAAGGAAAAATATTAGAGAGCTCCTCTTTCTGAAATTTAAAACTGGATGTGACAACTACCATTGATAAAATTATTTCAGCAAAAAAATTGGGAAAATATACTTGAATGAGGTAAAAATTTATTATCACAAATAAGACTAATATCACATAAAATATATAATATATAAAATAAAGTTTATTCATTTACTTTTCTAAACAAAACCAATTTTATTCAGTTTTAGTGTTATATTTCCTATTTGTCTTAATATTTATGGTTATTGACTTTTTCAGAAATATTAAACTGTGCAAGAGGCAGATATTTTGTGTAAATCTGATGAACCCACTTTAAACATCACATGTTACTTAAGTAACACAACACATTTTGCAGTGTGTCTATATTTTTTATAATTCAGAAATTGGCTTCAGTATTTCAATGCATTGATTCTTTGCCAATGCCAGAGGAAACCATACAAAGAAATCACAAACCATATTTGATTTTATGTTGTTGGTGGAAGGTATCTGCTCCTTCCATTGCTTTCAAAAATCTCTGGGAGATGCAGGCAAAATAAAAGAGTAGTGCAGAAAGTCTATCAGTTAATCATGGGAGGGGAGAGGCAGAGAAGGAAACAGAGAAAAATGTAGAGCTCAATAAAATCAATTAATAAAATACCCTTAGAGACTGGGAACATAGGTCAGTCCACAGGAGCACATACTGTGCATTCATGGGGACCTGAGTGCAAATTCCAGTAGTTATGGAAAAGCCTGGGCTCACATGAACATAATTTAAGTAATAAAAATAAATAATAAAAAATAAAATGTAAAAAATTTCAAATAGAGTATTTATGGAGTTGAGAATAATTTGGTCTCTAAACATATTGCCTGTCTCTCCATTACTCCTCTTTTCTATTGTCTTAGGTATATACTGGTCTCTTCTTATGTTCTCAACACTGTGATGAAAAGAAGGGGTCAAATAAGCAGTCATTTGCATCTGTATGTGTGTGTGATTCTGACTTAGTATTTAAAGCAGAAGTCAACTATTTTCAGGATCCACATCCAGCTATTTCTCTTCATTTCTCACTCCTGAATTATGCAAAATTTCAGATGTTGACACTGCACATTTTACAATATTGTTGTGCAGTCTATTCCCTTCGTAAAACCCCACTTCGAACTCATGGGTTGTTGCAAGTGAAAAGGCTATAAAGTTTTAGTGTTATTATGAAAAGAGTTTTAAGCTCACAGACTCCTTAAAATGCTCTTGGGATCCCTACAGATGCCTGAATGACACTTTGAGGACAATTGCTACAGGTTCTTTAGCAGAAAAAGTACCTTACAAACTAAATAAATATTTCAGTAGTCATTCAATGATATGAATCTAAATTATGGCTATATGCAATATGCTATGCTTTAAACAGTTGTTTGTGAAGCATAACTGTTGTCGCACTCTACCTTCAGAAATAACACTGAGAGCCCCTGGATTTTATTTGGGTAGTGTAATTGGAGCAAGCAGCCCCACAAATACAAATTCTGAAAAACTTCTCAATTTGAGCAACTAAGAATTCCTTCTTCCCATTTTTCAACATGTTACTTTCAAAAGTATAATTATGACAGCCCATCTTCTTTGCTTGGGTCTGTTCTACCATATGACTATTATTTTAAATGAACCATGTCAGAAGACAAGAACCTAATCATAGAAGGTGTACTCTGACCTCCATACACATGGACAACCCTTGGTATATGCACTGTGGCTTCTACTCTCTCTCTCTCTCTCTCCCCCTTTCCTTCTCTCTCTCCATCTACCTCTCTCTCTCTCAACACATATACATATACATATATATATATGCACACTCATAAATGCATACTCACATATATATACAAAAATACATACATGTATGCTTATTCACACAGACATACATATACATGAAAACACTAAAGAAATAAAAGAACCATGTTGCTATTGTTGAGAACTTTGTGTCACTGAATACATTATCAACATTTCTTTTTATATTATTTTTTTCAGCTTAACATTTTCATATATTTGCATGTCAGCATGCTTCTATGTCAATTAACATTCTTACTACTATGTTGCAAAAGAACCCACATGTTCCTTCATGTGCTTTGCCATGAAGAAGCTATTCCCTATTCCCTATTCATGAGGTTCCATTCATTAAACGTTGATCACAGTACCTGTGCTAACAGGGTTCTGTTCAGAAAGTCTTTTACTGTACCAATGTGTTGAAGGTTATTTCCTAATTTCTCTTTTGTCAGGTTCAGTGTATCAGGTTTTATGTCAATGTCTTTGATTCATTTGGAGTTTAGTTTTATGTGGGATGATAAGTATGGATCTATTTGAATCTTTCTATATTCAGTCTTCCAGTTTGACAAGCCTGTTTAGATATGTACCCCATTTTTAATTGGGTTATTAGTTCTCTTATGTCTATGTTATTGAGTTGTTTATAAATTTTGGATATTATCCCTAATCAGATATGTAGTTAAGTTAACAACTGAACTGTCACTTATACCTCCTGGGAAAGGAAAAGTTAGTTTTTACTAACAGATTGACACTGGGTATCTTGACTACAGGACAAACTTCATGTTCAGGAGCAATTGACCAAAATATTGAATTTTTTATGTGCTTTTATTTGGTTAGTTTGTTGCTCTGTTTTGTTTTCCTTTTTGAATGTTATTTTATTTTTCTTGGGTTTTTGGAGGATTTTTTGCTGAATTGGATTTGGGTTTATTTTTTCTTTTTTAGAAAGAACTTAAAGTACATTGGGTAGGAAGTGGACAAGATCTGGAAGGATTGGCAAAGGGAAACAATATGATCAAAATATATTTAAATTTAAAAATTGCTTTAAATAAAAATAAAATATGTATATATAAATGAATAGATAGATAGAGAGATAGAGAGATAGATAGATAGATAGATAGATAGATAGATAGATAGATAGATAGATAGATAGACAGATAGTCTTGCATGTAAAATTAACTGAATTTTGGAATGAACTGAAGCCACATTAGGTCATATTTTATCTTATTCTTCAAGTTTTATTTTGTATTACAGGTGCTCCTTTTCCATCACATTACATAACTTTTATATTGTATTGTGAGCATCTGGAAGGGTTATAAACGTTTACTTGTGTTTCGGTTTTTACATCCCTAGAATTACTTAAATATGAGTATTATCCTGTCTATTAATAAATTCTTAATCTTTTTCCATAATGCTGAAAAATCTCAAGTTCAAGGGTGGGCTTCTGCTACTGTAGGACCATCTGTCTCTGATCTCTCATGGCAACCAACATCTGTTGAAACTGTTCTCTCAGTGGTCCTTAGGTTAGAGCGCCTTAGGACTAGAATAAATGCCTCCCCTGGGATGTGCTCTCCTTGAATTGTGCCTTGTTGTCTTCTACAGTGAGTGGAGCTGAGTCCCTGATAACAGATAGATGCTAAGACTTTCAGCAAAATGATTTATCTCTGTAGTTCTGCTTTAAACCTGAGAGGTTAATATTTGTCTACAAGTTCAATACTCAATCATTCTGGGTTGAATCAGATTAACCCCCTGAGTACTTTTTCATTTGAAGTACAATCTAACAAAGTTCACTAGAAAGATATCAAATAAGAATCCTCAAGAGAGTTAAAAAACAAACAGGATTGTTTTCACCAACAATTACAAGTTTTTTTTAAGTGGATATTAAATAGTATATTTTACCACCCAGATATTTAAGCCATTGTACTTATCTTTAGAAGTCAAGGCAGTGGCCATTCACATGCAGCAAATGAACTGACATCAAATGAGCTCAGGAGAAAGAAGATGGTAATAGTTACAATTTGGTCAAAAGTCTTAGGCAGTGGTTCTCAACCTATGAGTCATTACCCTTCTGTTATAAAATGACCCTTTTACAGGGATCACATATCAGATATCCTGTGTATCCTATGTTATGTTTGATAATAGTAGCAAAATTACAGTTATGAAGTAGCAACAAAATGATTTTATGGTTGGGAGTCAAGGCAACATGAAGAACTGTGTTAAAGCATTGCAACATTAGCAAGGCAGAGAACTTGGATCTTATGAAAACTATCAAATTTAAATATGATATCCTAAAATTCTGACTTCGAGAATTTTGTAAGAACAGTTCACTACTTTATTTTAGAGATGTGAAAGAGTTTCAAACTCCTGTGATTAACAGTAGATTGGAAGATAGTAGTGAAGCACTGTTTCCTTGAACCCCGACCATGTGTATTTAAAACTTTTTCTTCACTGGGAGGTGGTGGCACAAACCTTTAATCTCAGTACTGTGGAAGCATATGTAGGAGGATCTGTAACTTCAAAGCCAGTCTGGTCTACACAACAAGTTCCAGGACAGCTAAGGCTGTAACTCAAAGAAATTCTGCCTCAAAAAAAAAAAAGAAAGAAAGAAAGAAAGGAAGGAAGGAAGGAAGGAAGGAAGGAAGGAAGGAAGGAAGGAAGGAAGGAAGAAAGGAAGGAAGGAAGAAAGAAAGAAAACACATACCGACAGTAAATAAAAAAAATAAAACTTCGTTCATCTCCTTTAATTCTTCTCTAAATGGTGTAGAAGTAACAGAAGATACGTGTTCAAGGAGATATAGAGTTTAGTATGAAAGTAACCTCTCTTTAAAAGCTCAAAAGAATTATCAGTGTAAATGTCAGTGCCTTCTTGCTGTTCATGTATGTCTAGCATAGAAATTGAAAGCTGAAGAGCTAAGGTTTATAAGATGGTCAAGCTGGTAGGCTGTCAAAGAGGTGAACAGAATATAGTTAAATTTTATTTTCCCCATGGCCCTTGACTTATATATAGCAAAATAACTTCAGAAATGTCAGGCAACTTGGCAAAATTAAACAGGAGGATCAAAACAGTTCCCAGAAAACAACACTATTACTTCCACTAAAATTAAGTATTCAAGTGGGACAAATAACCAAATACTCCTGGCACCTCCAATTCTTCAAGCTTCATGTTGACAGATGGTGCTTAGAAATGACTAGGTTTGATGCTTCAAAGACAGGAAGCAAGCATTAGCTTCGGGTTCTGCTGGATGTTCCTCTGAAGTTGAGGTTTTCGATATAGTCCATATGCTGTAATTCTGGGATTGCTCCAGTCAACTGTGAACTTTCCTCAGAAGCGTAAATTTCTGAGGAGTTTAAGTGTGGATAGGAAAGACAGTCAAATAAATGCTTTACTTAAAAACCTATTAAAATATGGGAAAATGCACCATCATAAATTATTTGTATAACTAATTGTACTTTTAAAATATTCTCAAAAGTGGGTGGTAATTTACCAAGAAGATGTAAATTATGAAATGAATTCCAAGTTTAAGTACATCAATAAAGTTGCAATAAAACTGTTCTGCTATCTGGAATCCCATGGACCAAATAATGACAGCACACTGTCTCATTAAATCCAACTTTTTGTATACTTCATTGAAACCTGTGTTTGACAGTTATTAAAAACTCGTTACACATATTTAATGTATTCATTAATAAACTTTCAATAAATTGCAAAACAAAATAAAAGCCTTAAAAAATCTGGGATGCACTGCTGAGATGGGTGATAAGGAAGGAAGGGGTTTTGTTTTCAACATCATAAGCAGAATATTGTATAAGTTTTGGAATTAACTTTTTATAAGAAATATAACTTTCTTTTGTACTTTCACTTCAACCCTGCAGTTACTCACTGTAAAAATAAATTCTGTTGTAAATTATGACCGTGTTAAACCTTCTGAGCCACACTTTCCTTTAGCCACATTTCTTCTCGATTTTTCTTTGCCTTTGGCATTCAGGCATCACAGACGAGGAAACTCTGCTCTCAAAAGTCAGTGCTTCTACTGAAATGCAAGGCACTAATAAGTTATACCTAGGAGGAAAATGATGATTAAACTATTAGATTAATTTAAAATTGACTGAAAATAGATTTCAAAAATCTCTCCTAAAATATGAGAATAGAAAGTAAGAAAAGGAGGGAAAAAAGATAGAAGGATTAAAATTAAGGTAAATTCCAGAAGGGGTATCACTATTTTATCAAAATCTAGGTATTAAATTAGCTCTTGTAAATTGGGTTCTTGATTTTCATAATAAAGCTAAATCCAAGGACAAGAACAAAGTGTCTACAGAATGAACGAGTGTGTGAAACAGGGAGGACAAGTGCAACCCAGCCTTAGTCCTGGGGTTCATCTGGCTCTTCTTTAGCTCCTCAAGGATTATCATGGATCATCTGAAGCAGCAGCTCCCACACAGGGATGATGATCTTCCCCAGCAGATATTTACTACTGTCTGGAACCACGTTTTAAGTTTCATAATTTGGGATCACTGATACCATCCACACACAAAAGGAATAAAGGCATCTCAGGATGCAGAGTCATTGCCCCGGAATAATCTGGTCTGAAATGGCAAGAGCAACCTTACAGAGAACCGGGGTCTAAGGTAACTCCACATGCGTAAGGAATAAGAGTGAGAAGACGGCCATGTTCTTCAGTGCCATCAAGTATAGGTGCATTAGGGATTGCAGGAAGGAAAAAAATCAGCATGGGTACATAATGGAATATTCTTCTCTGAAAATAATCGAATGCTATCATTTGTATTGACATTGGTGGGCCTGGGGAATGTTATGCTTAGTGGTTCATGTGTATTCTAATAAAGCTGATCTCATAGAAATTAATACGAAATGGTGTTTACCAAAAAGGCATGGAGAGTGTAAGGTAGAGGAGTGAGGGCAAATGTTTGACCAATAGGTGCTGAGCTGCAGATAGACAAAGCAAGAAGTTCTGCCTGGGTGAGTGTAGACAATGATCATATGCTATATACTTTAAAACGCTGGAAGGAGGGTCCAGTCACAGAAAGAAGTGGGGCAAAGGTATCCCCCAAAAAAGGCTACAGTGTGAATTTAAGGCAGCATGAACTTAGGAGAAAGGGGATTCAACTAAGATAAGCAAGCTTTTCTTGAATTCCTGATCTCTTGCCAGAACAATGAATCTAAATATAAGCAACAAGTCTGTGTGGTCGGTACAGACCCACATGTGCTAGGCTCATAATCTTTGTTTTATTGCATATTTAGCTTTCATGGGCTTGTGATTTCCAATTATAGTTTGGGAACACTCTATTTTATTTTATTTATGTCAATGGACATTTTACTAGTTCATTATACTAGTTCTACATTTTTCGTACTGGTGGTAAACTAAAGGATTTTGAATCTACAAGGTTGACACTGAACAACTTGGGATGACATACTCAGCTTTCCTTTTAGGTCCACAGTCATTTTATTTGTTTTAATTCTCCTCTGCAGTTTGTGTTTTTAATTAAATATGTTAGTGTCAAGTTCTCTATTCATTTAAAGGCAGAGTGACTTGATACTGCCCCGCATGGAAATGGGGAAAATTAAAAACTTTTTAGTCTGGTTTAGTTAGCAATGACAGCAAAAGCTGCTAAATTTCAGTATATCTTTGTAGTTAATAGTGAGCTTTTCATGACTTCCTCACCTAAAGAATTTGTTTAGCATTAAAGGTGCGTTAACTAGTTCCTACTAGAAGTTGATAGAATGACAAGAAAGAGGGGGATCACTCTTTTAAGAATCACACACATTATCTTTTGTGGATGTATAATACACACCTTCTGACAATGATGAAAACTGTAACTAAAAAGCCTCCAATATATATTTTTTTCAAAATCAATATTTCTTAGTCAATCAATAAAGGTTAATTTGTAATATCTTTCAACTCTAAGAGGTTGACTTGAGTTGTAAATATAAACAACTTTAAATTTCTTTCAAAATTTCACTGTTCTTTTGATATATTTAGGGGTAAATGTTGTTCTTAAGATGTTTTCCAATTAGATCTTAGAAAGTGACCCCTGAATCTACTACTCTCTGATGAAGTATTTGTTGCTGATGGCTTCTGGGATAGGAGTAATTACTATACTTAGCCATGTGCATAATGAATTGCCCTCCAGGCTTACATGCACAGTTCCAAAACTCATGGTCACAAATGTCATCTTTGCTAAACTTAGTAGGTCTCATAAGAAAAGAGATATAGATATTTGAAGAGGTGTTATAGGGAGAAAGAAGGTTAATAGGGTTGGGAATGGTATTGGAGAGAGTGCGGCTTCCTGTAACCATAGACCACTTTATATATGCAGGAAATTGTCAAAGAAAAGAAAAATAAATAAATAAATACAAATTAAATATGGAAAAAAAATAGAGAATTACGATATTTTAGCAGAACTCTATATTCTCCTTCAGAACGGATGCACTGAAAAATTATGTCTGATTTTAGAGTATATTATGTCCGTCATATGTTATATTACTTATTCATTGTTCATGTTATTTTTATGCCCCAAGGGAGGGAAGATACCAATACGATGGACATCACCAGAAGCAATTGCCTACCGCAAATTCACATCTGCTAGCGACGTGTGGAGTTATGGGATTGTTCTCTGGGAAGTTATGTCTTACGGAGAAAGACCATATTGGGAGATGTCCAATCAGGATGTAAGCATGCGCTTGTAGTTTATGAGTTATGAGCTGATATTAAAACTACAAGCTGTGCAAGGAGGTGGAGCAGAGTGCAGCCAGGTGGTACCTACTTGGTGACATAGAAGCGGAATATTTAGATTAAAACATTCTTGATCTTACAAGGGTTTTAATTGAGCTGTTTCTACAGCTTTATTTTGCTCCCTCAAGCAGGGATTTAAAAATGGAACAAAAAGAATATTTCTAATAAGAATGTAGCAAAAGTATATGTGTGTGTGTATGTGTGTGTTCATGTGTGCATGCAAGCACAACATGGAATAGTAACAATATTTATTTTCTACTTAAAATTATTAAGAATGTGCATGCCATCATTTCTTGACTAAATTTTTACAACTGCTCCAGAATTTGCTTACTTAAACTTAGTATACAAAGAGAAAAATTAATAATCACTACCATGTTGTTTCTAATAATACTCTAGGCCTGCACATGAACGTAATCATAGAAATTGAGTCAGGCTGGAGGAAATAATATTTAGCATTCTGTTAGAACTACAGAATGAGTGTTCTTTTTTATTGAAGTAGAATCATGTTTGCATTTTTGCATCTTGCTACTGTTTAGAAAAAGATACTATTAGCACATGGGATTATCACATTTCTTTGTGCTTACTAGAAATCTTATGCATGAACCCAAACATATAAGAAAGCAAACTGAGATGATGCTGTTCAATTTCAAGTCACTGCTTATGAGATTGCCTCTACTATATGTTGATATATCAATAATACTGTTTTCTCAAATTTCTTAGTATTTCAAATACAGCAATTATGGTAGAATCACATCAAGCTTTCGATTTATTTTCTTCAAATTGATGTTATATTAGAGCATCTAGAAGCATGGTACCTCAACCTGAAACTTAAGCTTGGCCTAGGAACTTGTTAGGAATAAAAATTCTCGGGATTTAACCCCAAGGTGGATGATTGAGAAATTCATTGAGAGAAAAGTATTTTGCACATTAATAACTTCTCCAAACGTTTCTGATTTACAATAAACTTTTAAAATTGCTACTTTATGTATTTAAAAACAGTAGTGCAAAGCCCAGTGTACAAAAGAGAACTTCTCTGGGTCACAAAGTTCTGAACTGTGGTATGGTTGGAATCTGCATCCTAATTTATTTTGCATGAATCGTTACAAGCCATATATAGTCTGTATCATATATAAAATGTATACATATATAAAATGTATAATCATTTTATAGCAACAAAATTCCTGTACTATGGCACGTTTGTTTTTACCTTGGTTTTCAAAAGACTATTTTACACACTACTTTTATTTAATCTTCCTGTCTACAAATATTTTCAGCCATGGATAATCTGTTATGTATACAGCCAGCTATTATCTTCAAGCCCATTTTAAAAAACTGTCTTGTTGAGCTTTAAAATATTCCTACTGGTGTGAATGAAAACCTCCATTGAGTTACTTGTTTTCTGTCCCTGGAAACTCTGCTCCTCACGTAGGTAATTAAAGCAGTGGATGAGGGCTACCGCCTCCCGCCTCCCATGGACTGCCCAGCTGCCTTGTATCAGCTGATGCTGGACTGCTGGCAGAAAGACAGGAACAACAGACCCAAGTTTGAACAGATTGTCAGCATTCTGGACAAGCTCATCCGGAATCCAGGCAGCCTGAAGATCATCACCAGTGCAGCAGCAAGGTGACACATTGGCTGTGTATGCTACACTCCTTCCACAACGCATGTTTCCCACTCCCCCTCCAATTGTATTCTTAGAAATTGTGGTTCTCAGAACTGGAGTGGAAGAATTCTCATGTGATTTTGGAATAATAATGAAAACATTAGTATGATTCTTAGCTAGAAGTGTCCCTATCTTCAAGCTAAACTGGGAAATATGAAAGCTGAACACATAGTGTATTTTACTCCTCATCATTTAAGGGAAAGGGGGATAAGTTACTTGTTTAAAGCTATATTCCAGTAGTTGAGTCCATTCTGATGGTGTGTATCTGTAAATCCAGCCTTTGAGAGGTGGAGGAATCCACAGTCATTCTCAGACACATAATGAGAGCAAATCAGACTGAGTTATAAGAGACCCTTACAAAACAAAGAACAAAAGCAACAAGAGCAAAAACACAAATTAAACCAAAAGATCCAGCAGTGTGTGAATGTGTGATTAGTGATGTGTGTGTAAATACGTAAATAAACAACATTCTAATAATTATGAATTTTGACCATATTTTATGTAAACACTAGATATAATATTTTAAAAAATAAAATGAAAAGAATGTCCCTAAACCTATAATGAAAAAAATGCTAAAATTTAAAATACGAGCACTGATTACAGCATTTTAGAAAATGAGCGTCCATACATAGATGATAGATAGATAGATAGGTAGATAGATAGATAGGTAGGTAGATAGATTATGTGTGTTAATTTTTTCTTGAATATATTCAAGTTCTGTAATGTGCTTTTATAGACATGTGTTGTAAAATGATTAGCATAATCAAATTAAGTAGTGCTTCATCATTTTACATATTTAACTTTTATATCGATTAACTTTACAATGAGACATCTTAAGATCTTTCTAGATCAATATCCTAACACTTATAAATTACTTTTTACAGTCATCATGTTGTGCATTAAGAATCACAGCTATTTAACTTAAAATACAAATTTGTTTCTTGTAATTACAATCTTCTACTTTGTTTCAACTCTCATTCAGGGTGAACTCTATACTCTCTGTCTCTGTGTTGGTCCAGTATTAGATTCAATTTACGATTTCATACCATAGATATTTATTCATCTGTGGATTATTTCCCTTAAAATAATTCCCTCAAGATTCATTCACATTGTCATAAATACTAAATATATTGGAATATAGTGAGAACATGGATGTTTTTACTGAATATATTGACACATAGTAAGAACATGCATGTCATGTTTTTGTAGTCATTTATTGCTGGTGTTTGCATTATTTTACTTCATTGTTTTTGTTCCAATAGGGAAGATATTTTTTAAGATAATTAACTTATTCCTCTTGCTATCCACCAAGAATTGGATTATATTTTGGCTCTACTTTTAATTTTTTGAGGAAATTCCATGTTATATGAATTTAGATTCCCAACAATATTACTTTTATTCACATTAATTATAACTCTTAAAGTCTAATGTGTTTTTAATCACATCCACTTTTCCCAACGTGAGGTGATTTTGTAGTGATTTTTATTTGCATGCCCCAAAGATAGGTGAATGGTTTACATATAATTACAACTTTTTTTGGTCCGTTTGTGTAAGAAGTCTGTATTAAGTCTTTTGTCTATGTTTTATTAAGTCATTCGTGGTGTTTTTTTTGTTAGCATGTGACTTCTTATACACTGTGGATATTAACCTAATATTAGATATATGGTATGTAGAGATTTCTCTATTCTGTATATCTATTATTGCATTTTTGAATGATTTCACTGCTGTGCAGAATTTTTTTAGTTTGTTGTAATCATACTTATTTTCTCTTCATTAGTTGGTTTTGCTTTGGTAGCCATATCCAAAAGTTATTTCCAAGACCATTAAAATAGTGTTTTTTTTAATCTGTATTTTCTTTCTTTAATTTTTTTCTTTCTTTTGTTTTCTTTTTTCTTTCTTTTTTTCTGGTTTTTTGAGACAGGGTTTCTCAATAGCTTTGGAGCCTGTCCTGGAACTAGCTTGTGTAGACCAGGCTGGCCTCAAACTCACAGAGATCCACCTGCCTCTGCCTCCCTAGTGCTAGGATTAAAGGTTTGTGCCACCACTGCCTGGCTTTAACCTGTATTTTCTTATAAGTGTTTTATAGTTCAGAACGTATGGTTCAATCATTAAACCACTTGAATTGAGTATAGTGAGCATACATGATCAAGATTTATATGAGTTTTTAACAAAAGAAGGGAAATCTAAATCATGCTTTTAACATCGTCGTGTGAGAATGATGGTTTATTAGTTTCATATAACATTTAGCAGTTACTACACCAGAATTTATTAATGTACTTTTAGAAGAAATTTTCCATAATTTATTCAATCAAGATTCATCTGTGTCCCAAACTTGACAAGAAGTGAGATAACGCAGACTTTGTGGAAATCCACCTGACAGTTTGACAACTGGCTGGCTTATAGGTCTGTCCTAGCCAGGGCATATGGTCCTCATTTTACACCTTGAAGCCATTTCTTTTGATCTTTGCTCAGTAGTAACTGTAGCAGGGAAAAACAACCCTTCAGCCCTCTTCATCTCCTGAGAAGGCATTCAAACCTTCCATTGGATGGTCTTATCACTCTAAAGATGACTGATGGTAAAGGATCCAGGACTATTTAACCTCAGTTCTGTGTATGAAAATAGTCTTACATCATATTACAGAATGTCAGAATGTCAGGAGACACAGAAGTAAGTATCCAACCTTTAACACTTAAAGTTTAGACTTTCTGAATCGTTTTATCTATTATGTGACTTTTACTACTACAGCATTAAATACCCAAATAATTTCTAGAAATTTAGTCACAAAGCATTTAGTTCTGGGAAAAATAGATATTTTTCTATAAAATGACATTGGTTTTAGTACATCAAATGTACAACTGGTAACTCTATATTTACTTATAGTTATAAAGGTATTTGTCTTGGGAGGCCAGCTTCCTCATTGCCATTCAAGGATTTCAATACTTTTCCTTCCTTTAAAAATAAAAATGAGTTCCCACTGTTTGACAGTAATGGTATTATTCTTTAATTGATTGAACTTGTTTCCTTCCTTAATTTTCAAACAGTGTTTTTAAAATATTCATGATTGAAATTTTTAAAGATGATTATGTACATTAGAGATTCTTGGTAGCGAAATGAAATTTACTGCCACTGTTCTTAGCCACTTTGTTTTTTCTAGTCATTTTTGGAGGAAGTGTTCCTTGCACCATCATGAACAAATTCTACTGTTTTCTTACTTCCTGCTCTGTCTCCTCTGTATATATCTAAAATTTTTATTTCTGTGTGATCTTTGCAATAGAAATATACTTATGACATTATTTCTCACATTTCACGGTGACAGGAATCACCAAAAGAATTTACAGTGTATCTGACCCTAAACCTTTAAGAAAGAACTCTAGAATCCATGTGCTTCATAAAACTCTGGTGACTGCTTTTTCTTGACAGGTAAATTGAAGATGTTGTGTCCAGTATCACTTGTACGGGCAGATATCTTGGATCACTACAGTCTTATTTTTTACCATTCCTCGAACCAAAAATTCCCAAAGAGTAATTTCAAGATATTTCTAATATGTGTTCTGAAACATTCATATTTCTCTGTTCTCCAATTAGCAGATTCCTTCTACTGTTTATTTAGTGAGTTGAGGTGAATATGTGTAGCTTTTCACACGTCATCATTGCAACATCTCTTCCTCTAAACAAGACCACTGCATTGACTCCCGTACTAAGCTCCTCTTCTCTTTTTTTTCCCTGGACCAAGCATCTGTCCACATAGCTCTCAGGTCATCTGTTACAAACAAACATAATTTTAACCATTTTATAACCAATTTGATATTCTCTTTATAACACCAAGGAATTGGTAGACTTCGTGGTGGCTTTAAAAAGCCTTGCTTTCCCCAGGGACACTTTTCATTTATTCACTAATTTCTGTGGGAGATTATGATAAGCCAATCTTTATATAATAAAAACTAAGTAGTCCCTAAAAATAAGGAAGCCAAGTGGTCCTGATCATGTTCACAATTGTGCTACCGAAGATGTACAGTATGCAATAAGCACTAAGACTATAGGATGAAATAAATAGGTAATTATATATGGAGATTAGACCCTTTGAAGAGCATGGGTTTGATCTATTGTCTGCAGGTTAATAATGACTTAGATGTTTAAAGAGTCAATAGCCTCTCTCTCACACACACATACGCAGAGCATTAGAGGCAATAAGTGAATTAAAGATGCCTTAAGATGAGAAGAGATTTAAAGGTACTGGGAAGTGAGTGGGAGATAGGTAATATTACTGAGTGGCAGTGGAGAAAGAATTGTTTTATCATAGCCTCAAGATGCAAACAGAAGACAAAGTGCTTAAGACTATTAGGCTATGATGAAGATTTTGAGATTCGTTTTCAAATGCATATGGAATCTATTAGAACATCTGAAGCTGAGAAGTTACATGAGTTGATTTATGCAGCTATTTTTTTAGGGGTACATTTTATCCTTTACCGTTGAGTCCTTTCACCTTAGCAACACAGCAGCCTGTGGGGCGCTTCCAGTTCCTTCAGCACACTGAGCATTTCAGAAAGCAGAAGCTCCTGCTTTCACCCATCCCAGATTTTCCTTTGTGTCAGCTAGGGCACCACGTGTTTATTGACAGAGTTTCCAGGTAATATAATTAATATCCAATACCCTTATTCCTTTACAGAATAAAATATGATAGTCAGCATATTTTTCAATCTGGATTTTCTGTGTGAATTATTAAAATTAACACTTCATTTGCACTGGTTCACAGCAGAACCTTTCTATTATGTGTGAGCATCTGTGTGATCTGTGTGAGCATCACTTTCTCAAGAGTCCATGACTAGAGAAAACTATAAAGTAGATGGTTAGGATGGCCTTAGGACCACAACACATCACAAGGAGTACTGAGATGGGGTGCTGTACTAAATTTATAATATATGAATTTATATTTATGTACATTTATATTATATTTCTATA